TGGTGTTGGTCAGGACATGGATGATTGACTACAAAAGCCAGACACAAACCCCAACTCTTTTCATCTGACCTCTCTCTGACCTTGAATGTTCTGAATACAAGATTATTTATCTAATCTTAAATACAAGAGTATTTTCTTCCTTTCAAATCGAATCTTACATCAGTTAATTTTATTTTAGATAAAAGACATCTTTTTTTCAAAGCCATGTTCAGTTATCAAAGGACAGATGGAGTGACACCTTGAAATAGCTTAATTGGGGAAGGTATTTGATATAAAAGATGTGCTTACTTTTTAAGAAAATTTGTCCTGTTTTAAAAGTAGTTGGTGGATAGGAATATCAAGTAGCCCCTCTGCCTCATCTCTTTCTTGGCTTCCCAGCTCCAGAAGAAGTGCAGGACCCAAAGTGATGTCGTGTAGTCTGTTACGGACAGAATCGTGGCCCCTCAAATTTATATGTTGGAGTCCTGACTCCAGAACTTCAGAATGCATATTTGGAGGCAGGGTCTTTAAAGAGGTGATTAAGGTTAAGTGAGGTAGTTAGGTAGGATGGGCCATAATCCAATACAACTGGCGCCCTTATAGGAAGAGATTAGGACATAGATACACGCAGAAGGAAGAAGATGTGAAGACACAGGGAGAAGGCTCAGAGGGAACCAACCCTGCTGACACTTTGACCTTGGACTTCTATCCTCCAGAACTGTGAGAAAATAAAATTTCTGTTGTGTAAGCCACCCAGACCGTGGTACTCTGTTATAGCAGCCCTGGCAAACTGATACTGATTTTTAAGAGGTTAGACCTTATCTTTAGTTATTTAATAGATCTCAATGAGAAAATAAAATTTCATAAATAGAACTTCCCATACAAGTGTATGATATAGATTGAAGGGCAAAGAGTGTAGTGTTTCCTTTTTAATTTCTCTCAGTTTATTGGTGGGGGCTTTTGTCAAAGCTGAGTCTAAACACCTGAAAAAACTCAGTAGAATTTAACCTAATAATCCCTGGCCTGGCAATCTGATGACCTGCTTGATGTTATGTCCGGTCTGTTAATTCCACGAGTCCAGGAAGTTCCCTCAGCACCCAGCACAGAGCCTGGCACATAGTAGGTGCTCAATAAATATTTGTCTGATGAGTGAATAAATAAATGGTTTGACCATGACTCTATGTTATGAATAACAGAATTTGCATCTAAAATACTTTCATTCTACATTCACATTCACAAAATTTCACTGTATTGGGTATGTAGTGGGTTATGCAGCTCAAACTCAAATGCATTCATTATAAACTCCTGTGAAATATGTATAATTTTGATATAAATACCCCCTCATTCCTCCATAGGTTTGATTATATCAAATATCCACTGATTTCTGCTAACTCACAGGACAAGTCATACCCTGGAGTTACATGACATGTTCATATCCTGAGAGGTACTTGCACACCCATCATTGGTTTTGATTTCCACAACTTCCGTATGAGGTAGAGAAGGCAAACAGATATTTCTTTGGAACTGGGCTTCCTTCAGCATTGATCCCCCAGGAACAGTGTCACCCTGACATCCTGAGCAGTGACGGAGCTTCAGCAGTAAGTTCAGCTTCACATCATTCATTATGTCTCTTCCCTTATCTGTTTGCGTTGGATGGGATCAAAGTCACAGTAGCACTTGCCAGCCCTAAGGTAATGAAATGGTGGTTGATTCTCTGCCCGTCCTTCTGGGCCTCTAGGACCTCCTACTGTAACGCCCACAGCCCCAGCACAGCCCCGAGGGCGTCTGTCCAGTGTGGGTGGCCCCAGGCTCCGGGTCGTGGCTCCCCGACTCAGCTCAGGTGTGCAGTAAGGTTGATGTAGCCAGAGTCAGCGCCCTGTCTGCCCTTGTTCCAGGCTGAGATGGCCTTAACTCGTTCCCAGACACACACCCCCTGTTTCTGACACTCATTGTTTATATCAAGGCCAAGGCCATGGGATCTTGAGCCTAAAGGGTGGGGTACCCTCTTAATGTTGGAGACCAGAGTACGAGGAAGCCTGGCGTCCCCAAAAGAACTACTGTTTGCTCCTTGCGGTATAGCTGTGGAATCCAAAGCCGCCTCCAAGGTCCTGTGGCCAGTCTGGGAGCCCCAGGCTCAGGAGGGACTCCAGGAGGTCCAGGTTCTGGCCCAGCATCCTTTCTGTCTTATCTGTGCAGAAGAATCACCTGGCAGATCCTTAAACATACAACTTCTGGGCCTTCTGCCCTGAGATCCTGATTCACCTTAGGGCTTCAGAGGGGAGGGTTTAGAAATCTGCATAAAATGCTGATTTAAATCCTAGGTGTTTTCTATGCAGGTGATCACTGGCCCAAACTTTGGGAAACAATGCTCTCTAAGACCAATGCTGCCCAGTTTCCAAGATGGGTATTTGTTTTCAAAGACCAGTGTCAAAGGAGTTCCTTCTGGGTGTGACTACGCACTTTGCAGACTGCGCGGGAACAACTATTATCAGAACGGAATTTAACTAAAACGGGAGCGGTAGTGTTCAAGTCAAACAGCCTGGGGTTGGTACCAGGTGAACTTCAGTTTTCTTGTGGGTAAACAACAGCCATGGAACGTGCTAGGTGGAGGGTGGGGAGAGAGACAGAGGGGGAGGGGAGAGGGAGGTGCCTCAGGCGTCCAGGTGGCTCTCAGCATTGCTGGCCTATGCAATCAACTGGAAGCTTTTAAAAGCCCCGATGCCTGGGGCCCCACCCCCAAGGATTCTAGTGTAATTGTTGGAGATGAGGCCTGCGCGTTGGGGTTTTTACAAGCTCGCGGGTGGCTCACGTGTGTAACCTGGGCTGAGAACCGCTGAAGAGGAGGCCCTATCTGGAAAGAGGAGATTTCAAGCAGAGCCCGGCTTACATTGGTCATCTGGAAAAAGGTAGCCATGGTGGGGTTTTTTGTTTTCTTTTCTTTTCTTTTTTTTTTTTTTTTGCGGTACGCGGGCCACTCTCCGCTGCGGCCCCTCCCGCTGCGGAGCACAGGCTCCGGACGCGCAGGCCCAGCGGCCATGGCTCACGGGCCCAGCCGCTCCGCGGCGGTATCGTCCCGTACCGGGGCTCGAATCCGCGTCCCCTGCATCGGCAGGCGGACTCCCAAACCACTGCGCCACCAGGGAAGCCCCAGCCATGGTGTTTTGACTTTTTAAAAAATGATTTTCAAAATGATGCTCCTATTCATTTCTTCTTCTTCTTCACCTATCTCTCATCATCTTTTGAATTTGCAACTTACCACGTATCTTTATTATTTATTTTTAATGTTTATTTTATATTGGAGTATAGTTGATGTACAATGTTACCATGTATCTTTCAAATATAACAACGTGTCAGGTGATGAAGAATGCCAGGAAAGCAAGAAAACAAAGGACAAAACAGGAAGGACCAGCTGCCCCTCTTCCCCTGTCTAATAGTAAGGACCACTGAGTAATAGTAAGGACGCAGTGAGTAAGGACTGGTGGGCTAACATCACATGAGTGAGGGTCTTCCCATCAGAAGCCCAGCTGGAGGAGAGCATTCCCCTAGTTGAGTAGATGAATATTCATCCTGCTCTAAAGACAAGGCCGCTGTGCTTTCTTATCCCATCTTAGGAAACGATAATAATCTGCTCTCATGAAACGCAGGCCCTCCCCCTTTTTGAAAAGACCAGCAGTCCCATGACTCTGTCAGCATTTCTCAAAGTGTGTTCCCTGGATCCCCTATATCAGGGTCCCAGGGATGTTGGTTAAAATGCAGATGCCTGGACCCTACCCACAGACCTACAGAATCAAAGTCTCTGCAGCCTGAGGCACCTGCAAGAGTAACATCTCAGGTGCTTCTCAGGTACCTTTGAGAACTGCTGCTTAAGTGCTAAGCAGTTACGCCTTCGGGCTCCTGAGGTGAAGACTCTGCAGGCAGCGTGCGGTGAGCAGTTCCCAGGGTTCTTTTGGGTGCTGCGCGGTTCACGCAAGGGTTCATTTTAAGCACGCAGATTAATGAAGGTCAACATAGAGGCTCAGGATCCTGCATTCACTAGTGCTGGAGGCACTCAGGCTCCCGGGTCGCTTTCTGCGCTGCTTCGTGCACCCACGTAATGAAAACAAAATGAGGGCAGCCTTCCCCCTGGTCTCAGCCTGGTTAGATGCCTTATTAAAAATCACAGCACATTGTTTTGGACACACTAGTGATTTACTGTCAGGGCCATAGGATCTGCTGATTAGGAAGCAGGGTCTGTTGATTAGGAGGCACGCGACACCTTGATCATTATACTGGACAAAAACTCCTGCTTATGCAGCTGAGCATTGAAATGCAGGAACATCGCATCTGTCTTGTTCCAAATCCCCACCCCCATCCCATTCTGTTATGAGATGGTCATCAGTGTGTTAGTCTGGGCAGTTGTCAAGCTTGGGCATTTGATTTCCATTGTTTTGAGTTCTGGACTTTGACCCCTGTGATGCCAAGCCTGAGTGAGTGACTGAATTCCAGTCTAGACCAGCAAAGGTGGAAGGTTGTGCTGGGGAGTTGGGGACTGAGGGTCGGGCGGGGCTCCTTGGAATCACAGTTACTGTTTGCATGGAGGAGCATGGACTCATCTCCCATGTACCTGTGCCCCCAAATCCCAGCCCTCCTCCAGAATCCTGTCTTCCCGCCTCTGTGAGGCTGTGAACCTGTATTCAGGTGCTCCTGGGCCTGGTGAAGGTGATTATCGAAATTTGGCGATCCCCATGGACACAAACACCGTTAAATAAACTAAGAACAGACGCCCAGCAGAGAAAAACGAATTCCCCAGTCAGAGGAATTTTCCCAGTATGTTTAATCATTTCACAAACAGATCTGGGTTTCCTGCCCTTCAGATGCTCAGAGGTGTTGGGTGTCAGGTGCGTGTTGAAAGGCCTGAGATGAGAAACACTTGAGTGTTAGGAACAAAGATCTCCAGCATCTTCCTGGCCCTTGAACGAGTTCCCTGCCTGCATTACAATGAACTGCTTGAATAATTGCCGTCTTTTTCCATTTGCAGGGGACTCTGGCATCTCAGAACACAAAAATGATTTCATCCATAGTCATTTCACAGCTGATTGATGAGAATAAATCAAAAGAAAATGGGGCCGAGTTGCCTGTGCCGTGTGCGTATCCCATGAAGCTATCGCTGGCTAATCGCAGCGGAGTCACTATTAACAGGGCCTTCGAGTTCCTTCCCGGTAGACTAGGAATTCAGACGCCGGCGGGGGAGCGAGGACCTGCGACAGAGCCGCCGCGCAAGGAGGAGAAGCCGTGCGGTGGCTCCCAGAAGGGATTTGCTTCCATCACCATCACGGCCAGGCGCGTGGGGCCCCCTGCCAGCACCCTGGTGTGGGAGGCTGTCGGGGACCCGCTCTGCATCAAGTGCAGGGCCCAGGATGCTCTGCTTGGGGACCCCTCTGCTCTGGCTGGTGGTGCCGATCCAAGTCGGCACCATGGACCTTTCACCTGTACAGAATTCTCCAGAAACAGCTCTGTGATGGGGCTGAAGGTCCCTGAAGCCCACGCACGGCTGTGTGAGGGACACGAGTACTGGATCACCAATGTGGACAGCAGGGAGGACCATTTTTCTCCAAGCACCCCACGGTCACAGGAGGGAAAGAGCCCGCTGGTGTTCAGCTCCTGTGTCCATCTCAGAGTGTCTCAGCCGTGTCCAAATTCCGTCTACTATCTGGACAGGTCCCTGTCTGTCCCCATTGAGCCACCTCGACTCGCTGGCCCTAAGATGCACAGATCCGTTCTGTCCCTCAACCTAAATTGCAGTTCACACAGACTGACACCAGATGGCGTAGATGGCACAGCTAACGGAGAGCCAATAAGCAGCGCCTTGAAGCTGGAGCTCACGGAGGGAAACCAAAACCTCCTAGGCCCTCGCTGGAACCTAGGTTTGCAAGAAAGTTTCTTGAAGGAAAACCCATCGTTGGGGCGGGTACATTTGGGGACCGCGGGAACCGGCATGTGTCCTTGGAGAGGCTCTCCTTCACTGGAAAATACAGCTGCGGGAAGTAACCAGGTCACTGTGAGAAAAGGGAAGGAGGACCACGCAGCTCGTTGTCACACCGGTGGTCATGGTCACGCCAAGCAACTGTCCATTCACATCCCGGGCTGGAGCTACACGGCAGGTGAGTGACACTCCCATCCTCCCCGCTGCCAAGTGCAGACCCCTCCCCACTTCAGGTAATTGGTGTGATTGCCAAGGTGCGTAGTGAGTGAGTTTCTTCTACGTGACTTATTCCAAGAAGCAGTTCTCAGTAATTGCTTCATCTACTCCACTCAGAGTTGACCGCTGATAGCTCCGTGTTGATGTCTGGTTTGGATAGATTTTCTTAGATGATGCTTTTGTAGATCATGAAAGGCCTTCCCTCAAACTTTTGTTTCCATCAGTAGCTCCAGACCATATATAATGAGTAGGGGACTCTACCCCAAGTGAAGTTCATTTAGGCCCTTGTCATTCCAAAACAGGATGAGAAGAGCCAGGGGCCGTCCACTCCCAGATGTTTTGTCCCTCTGGTATGAACGTCTGCACATCTGGAAGTCTCCAGAGTTCTGCACTTTTAACTTTTCAATCGGGTAGTTGATGCTGATGGGTTGGCCTTAGAAACCTAGACCACAAAGCTCAATAATGGAGTGTTTGTGTGTGAGAGTGTGTATAGTAATTATGGGACATCTTCAAAAAGAGGCAAACCTGGGACTCTCCACACCAAACAGCAGAAGCGGTAGTTTTCTGATTTTTGAGTTGTGTTTTCTGGGGCAACTCGGCTGGGATTTGATACCTTTCCGCCACGGCCAGGGCCAGGCAGAATTCCCAAGGTCAGCTGTCCTGGGCACCCTTTACCTTTCTTGGGAGATCGGGGGTAGAGGGGGGAACAGGCCTTAGCCAGAGGCCAGACTTCTCTCCTTCCCCGTGTACACTTCCGCAAGAGATTCTGGTTTACGAATTAGTGACTTTCCACTTGGGGGAAATATTCAAATATAATAGTGGCAAAATTGAAAATGTGGCACATGCATAATAATTTTACAGCGCAATTTTTGTCCATTAAAAGCTTTATTAATTAATAAAAATGACTGTAAAACAGTTTAAAGCTGTCATGTGCGTAGAAATGTTAAATGATGCAATTAATTTTAACAAGTGTATATATATTGAATGCTCAGAGATTTTTAAGGCAATTTGACATGGCTTTCAGACTGATTAGGCTGTTGAATGCGTCTGAGTCTGGCAGACTTATTGCAAGAGGGGAAACATAAGCAGCCGTCAGTGTTGCAAAGCTGGGCTTCTCTCTGGGTTTTAAAGACATTTCTCAAGCCAGCCATTTCTTCTTCCTCGTTGATGAAGAGTCTGGAAATATACGACCTACATTGCTGTATGCTCCCCCATTGAAGCATACCCTAGTCTTTGTGCTGTGAAATGGTAACTTGGATTTATAGCACTTACACCAAAGGAGCCTTAAAAGTCACCAGCGCCAGATCTCAAACATTCATCTCAGAGGAGGGGAGCGGACGAGCAGAGAAAATCCCTGCGTCTTATTTTTGGCTTTGGCGCAGACAGGATTTTTGATTGTGACTTTGTGAGGTGACTACTCCTATAATTGATTTCTTAGGCAAAGAGTGCAAGTCAATTTTTACTTCCCATGGGCCGACTTCCCCCAGAATAGGTCTGATCCCAAAGATTCATCTGTGGAGCATTTGAGCGGCCCTAAAGCACGTGACCTCATTCTACCATTTGAGGAAGGAGATATGTATGGCGGCCAGGTCACCTTTCTTAGAGCTGCTGATCTATTATTTTCCAGCACGTGGAACGTGGACATGCCACACTAACTCTGATTCTGTTTCCTCATCTGGGTAACTAGAGAAGGGGTTGGATTTGGTGTTCAATTTTTCAAGCTTAAGTTCCCCTTAAGCTTGAAAAAATTTCTGCTCTATTTTTCTGAGATGAAATCTATAAGGAAAAGAGGTTCCAGGTGACTCTGGGTCATGAAGTTCAAAGCTATACAACCTTGGGCTCACTGTTTAGGACACACGTGTCCATGTGTACAAATGCACACTCACACACACACACACGCACGCATGCACACACACATCCCTGTACGGTTGTGCTCTCTCATTTAGAAACTAATTTGCGATGGAATGCATTTCTTCCCGGGTGATAAGAAAGCACTTCTTGTCCATGCTGTAGAATTCTTGCCTGAAATTTATAAGCACAACTCACAGATTCTAAGTACCACAGTCTGTCCTAGTATAATCTACACAAAGCTTCAAGGGTGAGCTCTCTGACCTTCAGTCTTGACAAAGCTTTTAAACCTTAATGCGAGTGCTTTCCAACAGTGGCGATGCTCATTAAAACTCCAATGAACTGTTTGTATTTTCTCATCTGAAACTGGAATCTTGTCTGAGACATTCTTGACAGCCTCCTGTGGCTACATGTGCTGTTAGTAGTCATCACACTTTATAGTTCCTGAATCTGATTCTTTGTATCTGAAAGATTCCAAAATGCAGAATGAGCGGTATCCTTGCTAGCCAACTTACATTCAGCTGCAAGGTAGGTGCAGCCTGGGAGATTCTACAAATGGAGGCAAAGCAATTTTAGCTCTAGTCATTGGGTCCTCATGCAGACAGTCCTATAAATTGTGTTGTTGAATGAGCCTCCAGGACACGCACCCAGAAAGATTGCTAAGATTAGGGAAAACGGGATGCCATCGAATGCTTTGTGCAGCGCAGACTGGCCGTGTCTGCTGGGAAGTAACATTTTTAACAGACCCAGGGGTACCTGTTCTCTTTTCAGAGGCTGAGGGCTTGTGAATTGGTTCCCTCTTTGTTCCTTTCCTTGGTCCTTGTAAGTTTGTTACTTACATCTCCACTGTTAGAAGCATCCTGCTAGCACCTGCTAGATGGACATTGTACAAATCCCTGCATCTGTTGTGAGGAAGAATGTCACCATCACCACCATCACCACCACCACCGCCATCATCATCATCCTATCAATACCCACAACATTTACTGTGGAAATCCTAGATGCCAAGCCCTGGGCTACTTCCACTGTATTTATTACTTTGAATCACTCAAATCATTCTGTAAAGAGAACGCCATTATTCCTATTTTGCAGACAAGACAAACGGGGCTTGAAGATTAAACAACTTGCCAAGGCCGCCTGGCCAGGGAGTGCCAGAGCTGAGAACAGTCGTGTGTGTTTGGCTCTCACTGTGCCACCCTCAGTGACAGCCCAAAGTAGAGCAGGTAGGATGGTGGGGACTCTCTCAGCGGTGGGCCCCATCTCCACTATCACCGTCAAAGGTGATGTTCAGAGACTGCTCACGGGCATATAAATAATATCAGCACTTGGTGCCCAGGTACCGTGGGTAAAATCTATTAGGAGAGTAAGCTACACAGTTAATTTCTAACTAAATGTAACAAGCCATGCCATTTGAGAGTTAAAACGTATTGGCTCAGAAATCCCTCCCAGCCTGAAATCTGTTCTCCTGGTGTTCTATGGGATGTACAGTGTTGATCTGAACGTTTCTCTCCTCACTGGGTGTTCCATGCCTAAACCAGTATTTTTTTTAAAATAAATTTATTTATTTATTTTTGGCTGCGTTGGGTCTTCGTTGCTGCACAGGCCTTCTCTAGTTGCGGTGAGCGGTGGCTTCTCTTTGTTGCGGAGCACGGGCTCTGGGCATGCAGGCTTCAATAGTTGAGGCACACGGCCTCAGTAGTTGTGGATTGTGGACTCTAGAGTGCAGGCTCAGTAGTTGTGGCGCATGGCCTTAGTTGCTCCGTGGCATGTGGGATCTTCCTGGACCAGGGCTCGAATCAGTGTCCCCTGCATTGGCAGGCAGATTCTTAACCACTGCATCACCAGGGAAGTCCTGCTAAACCAGTACTGACTTTGATACGTTACTTACTGCCAGTTTCATTTCCTATTTGTGGCCAAGATCTGAAGCTTTCCCCTGTTCCTAAGACAACCAAGTAGATAGAGCAAAACCACCTGATTTTGTTAGATGCTTTTGGAGAAGACACTGGTGAATGCACTGTTTGCCCACATCTGCCCCAGACACCAGTGTTCTATGTGGACCCTCTGTCTTAGAATTGCTCTGGTGGCGTTGGTCTGGGAAGACCCCAGTGGAGTTTAGTATCACTAGTGGCCAAAGACGGGAATAACCGGAGAGGAAGAAATCTCTGCCAGTTCACGGAAGGAATGCCGTGTTTACTAGTGTTCTGACACGATAATCTACCACATTAGTAGTGAGTGAGGTTTAGTTCATGAAGAAAGCACGTACACCACTCAAGGGAAGCCTACGGGACACTGCACGTACACATGCGAAGTCTACCAGAGAAGCGTGCGCTACACTCAGTTCCCCAAGCCCATGAAGACTTCCTGCTAGAGATGCCAGAAGACATTTGGGAGGAACCCTTGTTTTACAGCTGTGCTTTTTCTTTAATGATTAAGAACTGGGGTTGGCAAACTTTTTTTTTTTTTGGAAAGGGCCAGGTAGCAATTAAGGTAGGCTTTGCAGGCCGTGTGGTCTGTCTAGCACCTACTCAGCTCTGCCATTGTAGAAGGAAAGCAGCCAAAGACAGTGCATAAATAAATGAACATGGCTCTATTCCAATAAAACTTTATTTACAAAACAGGCAGTGGGCTGTAATTTACCTGCTCCTTGTTGTCTGTCCTCCAAGGCAAAGTTTACCCTGTTTGCCTATGTTCCACGTTGGCGTCTCTGGAAATCCAGCTCTGAGATGGAGATGAATGGGCATTTATTGTGCAGATGAATGGGCATTTAATGGGCATTTATTATGCAGTGGGAATGGCACTTGTGGATGGGAAGGGAGGTAGGTATGGGCAGAGAACATGAGTGTTCTGTGATGCAGTCATAATGAAGGGCTTAGAGGGCTCTGAATTTAGGGTGGCCCTTCAGAGTTATTCTGATTGGGGGTGAGGAGGCTGGACCTTTATAACCCTAGGAAGGGGATCTAAAGGGTGAGCCTTCCGGTTGCCAGAGTTGGGCTGGACTTCTGAGGACCGTCTTCCTGCAGGACTTCAAGCAACTGGGGGCAGGGTGGGTGGGCGGCTGCATCCTTTATTCCCAAGGGGGATCTGTGTGCATCACAGCTCTTCTGCCGTTTAATC